GTTCATTTTTATTTGAATGTAAAAACTGAAGTGAAAACAAATTGAAGAAGAATTTGCTGAGTAATTATGCAGAGAGATGTGCGAAAAATATATAATTCATTTATTATTATTAATATTATTTTGTTCACATTTGTATGAAAAATTAATCACTGATCATAATAATTTAGTTGAGTTTTTTCGATAAATTTTTAGAATATTTTAGTCTGAAAGAGTAGAATGAGAACGAAAATAATAGTAATTTGGATGGATAGAAGATAAATACTTAACGAGCGCAAATCCTTTCGGACTTGAATTTAATAAAATAAACATTGAATGGAAATAACGCAGAAGACAGAACTTTCAGGAGCTGCTTGGGATTACTACTTCCAAACTAACTCAAAGTAATAAGACAACTGCTTGCTATCCTTTCTTTCCTTTTCAATACTCAATACCAATTCTATGCAAGCATTAGAAGTATCTGAAATGTTACAAACTTTTGGCAACAGTACTTTTGCAGTAATGTACAATACTGAAAATGTATTCTATTCTATCACTCATTTATTTTAGCAGAGTTTCTGATAATGAAATCTTGTAAAAAATTTATATGTTAAAGTGTTGTGTTAATTGACTGCTAGAAATATTTCATGATTAAGAATTTTTAAACTTTTTCATATAATTAATAAAAATTATCTGATTAAATTGCTTATAGTAAAATTTGAGTAAGAATAATAATTCGAGTAAAAATAATGATTTGAGTTAAAATTTATAAAAAATAATCTTAGCATCTGTTAAGTAAGCTGAAAATGAAAGTATAAAGAAGAAGAAGACATTTGATTATATCAAAGAGTTTATTCGAAAGTTATTGCTTGAGTTATTTCTAATGCAAATATTTTGAAAAAAAAAGCTAAATTAAATTAATGAAAGTGGAATACTTTTTGATTACTACAAATTTGAATTTGTAATAAAATTATTGCTAAACAGTACTCATTTCAAACAGTATCTTGCACAGTCATAACTGTATTCCACGTGAGAAGTGTCGGTTGATTCATTTTTTCTCGCTCGGAAATTCAGCAAGAAAACGATGCAATTTTTATAGGTGATGTACACATTCAAAGGTTTTTTGATTGTTATCAAAAAAAAAGATAAAACTCAGTATTTTTCGCTTTAAAGTTTTACAAATTGATAGGCTTAAATAGCTTCGGTAATGTTTACTTAAAACGTACACACTTTATGTCATTGCAGTTTGCTTGACCAAAGCACATATTCATACTTTCCGTCTTCTACAATTTATAAATTGAACATAAACTATTCATCATTAAAATAATCTCTTACCGAATTTCTCAGGTCAAATTAATTACGTGTCAATAAGTTTAAGCTATTAATAATTTTTCCGCTTATTCAATCATTTCTTCACTTCAAGCAAACAGTTTTCACAATTACAAGCAAATTATACATATTGTACTGCATTTAATCGTAAAATACAAATACAGAAATTGGCAAATTAATGATTTTGCAAAATCTTTTTCAGAATGGAATGCTAATGTTTTTGAGAATAAAATAACTTTAAAAAATTTCTAAACTTTTTCTAATAATTTTTGCCTCAGAATCTGCTTCATTATTTACTTTTATCTGATAACACGCAAAGAGAAAAGATATCAGTGATTTGAATTTATCCATATATTCAGTACAATGTTTTCAGCTGATCAAAGTGATGTATATTTTATTATAAAATATAAATTTTTCACTCATTTCATACTTTAAAATTTGTAATAAATCAATAACAAAATGTCCTGATGAAAAAATTGAGAATATTATTACTCTTAGACATTTTGCTTTTGCATACAACTTTTTTTGCAATAAACTTTTTAACTAAACTCGTCGCTTTACCACTTTTTCTTATTAATTTTTCATAGCCAATTTTATCTCTTGCATGGAATCTTAGCAGCAACGCCTAGTTTTTGTGAGTTTGAAATGATCGCTTAATTTCTATGAATGGAATGTCATACACGTATTTTGTTGTTTTTTGAAAACAAATTGTTTTTGAAAGCAAATTTTTTCAAAATTAATACAGTAATCAATCATTTATCACTCATTAATGTCTCTGGATTTGGATTTGATAATTGTTTTTTAGACATCAAAAAATTAATTATTTGTAACTTGTGCATATTAAAAACAATCCTCAAATCTCAGTACAGCACTATTCATGGAATCGAGGCTTTGACTCTCCTTTTTCCAAACAAACGTTCACATTTTACAAAACTTAAGTACGAAAGTGAGAACGGAATTTGATTTTAGGGAGTAAGCATACTAAATTTACTAGTGAGTTCCATGGTAATTGATGCAATTTATAGATTATTTTTGATATAGTAAAAAGAAGTTAATATATGTTCACTGATTAATCTAACTCCATCATATGAATTATTGATTGATTGGCTAAACTTATTTTTCTTTCATCGAAGCTAAAAAAATTATTTGCTAGCTTAAAAATTTGTCGTAGAAGTAATTTGCAAGGAAGGTCAAGGGTGACATAAAGCACCGTACACATGCATATAGCAACAACTTGTGCGAAAAAGGCATGCACTGACTTGTTTGTGAGTTTGAAATGATCACTCACGTGCACCTAAACAAGAAACATTAACATGTCGACGTAATATAACCAGTACTAAAGTCACGCATGTACTGTTCGTGCTGACATATTCCCGTCATTGAAAACGTAAGTTATGTTTACTTTGCTGCACACATATATACAGCTGTCTCTGCGTTTCATTCATGTGTTACCTGCACAACCAACCAGGTGAGAAGTGCGCAATACATTTGCTACTGGCACTTGTTGGCATTCGGTACAACGCAAATTACGGTAACTACGTCATCGCTTACTTTCAAAAAAAATTCTTCTGAATAAAACAAACAGTACCTTATACTACTTGCTTACTTATATACTCAAATCTAACTTTAGAAACACACATCATGACTTCAAATATTTTACACGATTAGAAGTGGAATCAGGCATGAAAGTAGTCTTCTCTTTTGATCACTCACTTACTAGATAAATATAAAAGTAAACCTTAATGTCAGGAATAAACTTAAAATCTAGCAACTTGGCGTAAAATTAATGAAAGCATTGCTGGAAAAATAAATTTTCATCTACATGCATAATATTTACTACAATAAGGATTAACTGTACAGTTATGGGAGTCAAAAGTCAGCAAGAATGCAAGAATCATACGAAGTAATGTAAATATTATTTTATAGTTTTTAAAGTTATATTGATCAATTTGTATTATTCATCATAATATCACAGCAGCAGAAAAGCTTTCACACATCTTATCGCATTATAGTTTGCACGAAAAGTTAGTGCACATTTAATATTTGTTACTAACATAGATTGAATCTAAACAAAAAGTGTTCAAAACTTAGAAAATAAACATTTCGTTGTAAATTGTTTGACCTTTGATATCCTCCAAATAATTTAGGAATTATTTATTTACTGCAACTGTTCTGTATTATTATTATTATTCAACCAAATCATTTTCCTTTAATTGATAATTTTTTCTATTAGTGCAATTTAATGTTTAACTAAAATGTATTTACAGAATAATTTATTCCTATATGTATATTATTATTTTAATCAAATTCTGCATTAATGTCGAAGTTTTATTCTGACTCACGTCCTTTTGATGCACATCAATTATGCAGAATGTAATACGCAGTTTTATTGCAATATTTCAGTCTCTTTTCCTTCGATCTAAATAAAGTTTCTGAGTCCAAATAAGCAGTAATAGTAATAACAATAATAATAATAATAATAATAACAATAATAATAATAATGATAATGATAATAATAATAATAATATAAATGAACAAAATAATGTGCTAATAGCAACTGATAAATTTTCTTAAACTTATCTTAAAATTTAGCTTTAAAGGAAGAAAAAAAGAAAATGGTAAGAATAAGCTCTAGTCAGATGAAAGGAAATATAATAAAATCTGAAGAGCGGTTTCTGATTTGCATTAGTATGCTGAAGGTAATTTAGTGAATGAAACAAGAATCAATTTGCACTAGTCATCAGATATGTTCTCCAGATTCATCTGTATTAATGCAAGTACAGCTCAAATATTGTAGTTCTATGTAGTTTTATGATTGGATTAGATCAAGTCAAATAATAACTGATCTTATAATGCAATCTATTCATTATTGTTACATATATTACATCACTATTAATCTTGCATAAGTGAACTAATAAGACTATTCTTACATTCATATTTTTACGAATAATGTTAGGACAGATCAAAATTTGCATCTATTATTAGATTAATGATGTTTTCTCACATATAAAAGATAATTGGTGGATGACTTGAATAAAATTCACTTATTTGCTTGTGCGCGCAAGTAAAATTATGTAATGGTATTAAAAGTAGAAAACAACCGTTTCCGATGTTCAGTTTTGTATAATAACTGTTCCTGCATGACGTACACAATGTATTAACAGCGTGAGAAGCGTTACGCAGTGGAA